TATGGAGCTGATGGAAGTCGATGGTAAGTTTCTCGCTCTTTATATCACACACAACCCTCTAAATCTCCCTGAGCCTCTTATCTTGATTTTTTCACAGAGCTCCTCTATTCCTTAGCCTTCCCCCCTAGTCAACAATCACGCTTAACCTCGACACACAACAAATAACCACCACTACACCATTATTCGGCTTGCCTCTTTCCTTCCAGATACACCCTCGACTGCTGTTGTTCTTCATGAAGATAAGAAGTATTACCCTACAGCTGAAGAAATATATGGACCGGACGTTGAAACTTTAGTTCAGGAGGAAGATACGCAGCCATTGACAGAACCTATCATCAAACCGATCAAGATTAAGAAGTTTCAAGTACAAGAAAAGGATTTGCCCGAGACGCGGTACAAGAAGGAGTAAGTTTAAGTTGAACTTGTGCACAGGCTGAATTCATGTCTCGCATGAAATTGACTTTGACTTCTGCCCGTCTTTATGTGCGCTACATTTACAGATTTCTGGTGGATATGATGAATTTACCCGAACTCGTCCGAAATATCGCGATTGTTGGACATTTACATCATGGAAAGACGTCTTTCGTCGATATGCTTGTTAATGAGACACATTCTTCTGTTGCTTGGGATGTTGATAAGCAGGTAGGCCCTATGTTCGTATTCTATTCGATATCGTCTTTTCATAAGGGGTAACGATCTTATATGCTCTAACTTTATAAGGAACGGTATACAGATACGCATACCCTTGAGAGAGATAGAGGCGTTAGTATTAAGAGCATGCCTATGACTCTTATACTTCCTGACACTCGAGGCAAATCTTATTTGTTCAATATAATCGATACTCCTGGTACATACTTACATACCCGAGAGAATGCTACGTAATTGCTTTCAATAATGCTCGTGAAGAAATACTAAGAATTTATGATTTTATTCTCGATAGGTCACGTTGATTTTGTAGATGAAGTAACTGCTGGTCTACGAGTGGCTGATGGTGTCGTCATAATCGTTGATGCTATTGAAGGAGTAAATAATATTCCATTAACATTGCATTCAATTGCAAGTTATAATTTAATTCTGATTTACGGTGCTTCATCTTTATCCAGGTGATGGCCAATACGGAACGACTAATTAAACATGTGATACATGAACGCCTATCATTTGTATTAGTCGTGAATAAAGTCGATCGGCTTATTCTCGAATTGAAAATACCACCAAATGACGCGTACTTTAAATTAAAGCATACGATTGAGGAAGTTAATACTATGATCAGGTATTTTGTAATGGAATAAAAACGTTGAAGTTAAAATAGTTTGGTAACCAGGTCGTCAATTATATAGCGAATGTTCACCGGATCAAGATCTACGAGTATCACCTGAACGCGGAAATGTATTATTTGCATCGACGCAAATGGGTTGGTGCTTCACATTGAGATCATTCGCAAAGATGTATTCTAGTTCTTACGGTAAGTGAAGGAAAATTTATATCGACAAGAAATATCTACAACAAGGAACACTCATAAGCGTTCTGTAATTAGAAGGTATAAATGCTGATGAATTTGCATTACGTCTCTGGGGTGATATATATTATAATCCAAAAAAGAGAACATTTTCTCGAAAATCGATGGAGCAAGACAGTCAGAGGGCGTTTGTGCATTTCATTTTGGAACCACTGTATAAATTATACGCGCAGGTGTGATGACTAACAATTTCTACGTTGTTATTACTTTTTGGTTTTCTTACATCGTTAACTCATAGTTTGAATTATCATCAATGATCAGGTCATTGGCGAAAATGAGCAAACGTTAAAAAGAACGCTGTCCTCATTAGGGATACGCCTCAGAGCATCTCATTTTCAACTTGATGTTAAACCTCTTTTAAGGATAGTCCTAGATCAGTTCTTCGGTACTGCCACTGGATTTGTCGATATGATAGTACGACATATTCCATCACCGATGGATAACGCAATAAGCAAGGTATTTATGATTCTTGATTTACAGACCACATCTTGCCTCTCTAATTAATACATATCGCCAGGTCGAACACATTTATACCGGTCCAATGACATCCAAAGCTGCAAAAGCTATGCGCTCGTGCGATGCCGATGGACCATTGATGGTCCACATCACTAAATTGTACAATTCAGCCGATGCGTCTCGATTCGATGCATTTGGTCGGATAATGTCAGGGACTGTCCGAAAGGGACAAAGTGTTAGAGTGCTTGGTGAAGGATACTCGATTGAAGATGAAGAGGATATGACTATCCAAGAAGTCTCGAATGTGTGGATTTTTGAGTCAAGGTAATAACAAGAGATAATCGAACACTGACGTATAATATCTTGGTGATTACAGCTTATGAATATTGAATGTTAGATACCGTATTGAAGTCGACGGTGCACCTGCTGGAAACTGGGTTTTGCTCGAGGGTGTAGATAATTCAATAGTAAAGACGGCAACGATAACAGATAAACTTGTCGATGAAGATCTTTATATATTCAGACCACTCTCGTTCATTACAACGGCTGTTCTCAAAGTAGCTGTTGAACCTGTTAATCCGTCAGAATTACCCAAGATGTTGGATGGACTAAGGAAGATTAATAAGAGTTATCCTATTGTAATAACCAAGGTCAGGACGAACTTCTCCATGTAATCTAATTGCATTGTCTAGTCGCTAGTATGTTGTTATATCTAAATGGTTCATGGTCTATTAGGTTGAGGAGTCTGGTGAACATATTATCCTCGGAACTGGTGAACTGTATCTTGATTGTGTGTTGCATGATCTACGGCGGATGTACGCTGAAATTGAGTTAAAAGTGTCCGATCCGGTTGTGCGATTCTGTGAGACTGTTGTCGAGACATCAGCACTGAAATGCTTTGCTGAAACACCGAACAAAAAGTTTGTATAATTATTTTGTCAAGCTCATTCATAGCTGTTTGGTCTTTTGCTCATAAGCTGATTGAACACCAATACTAGGAATAAACTGACAATGATAGCAGAACCGTTAGAAAAAGGTTTGGCAGAAGATATAGAACAAGGGAGAGTATCTATAAAATGGCCTGAAGAGGATCTCGCTAAATATTTTGAAGACAAGTACAACTGGGATATTCTCGCATCGAGGTCCATATGGGCCTTCGGGCCTGACGAGAATGGACCGAATATTCTTCTTGATGACACACTATCGTTTGAAGTTGATAAGAAATTGCTCTATAGTGTTAAAGACTCAATACGCCAGGGTTTCCAATGGGGCACGAGAGAGGGGCCACTGTGCGATGAACGTGAGTTTTTTTTCGTAGCTGAAAGAAGAGTTTTTTATATTCAACATTTTCATTTGACGCCTAAAATTGTTGTTACATATTGACAGCCATAAGAAATGTTAAATTCAGAATACTAGACGCAGTATTGGCAGCTGAGCCCATTTATCGTGGTGGAGGTCAGATTATTCCCACAGCAAGGCGAGTATGCTATTCGGCCTTTCTTACGGTTAGTATATTGCTCGCTTCCATTTGGTTGTTACTGGTTCAATCTTTTGACTTGTGTTGTATTTAGGCTGCTCCAAGGTTGATGGAACCTGTATACTATGTCGAAGTCCAAGCACCAGCTGATTGTGTGTCTGCCGTGTACACAGTGCTTGCCCGACGAAGGTAATTCACATAACAGAATTGATGCATCTAGTAGAATTTGTGAAGAAATGAATAAAATATTCATGGTTTTTTAGAGGCCACGTGACTAAAGACATTCCAAAGGCCGGCTCGCCTTTGTATACTGTTAAGGCGTACGTTCCAGTTATTGACGCAAATGGCTTTGAGACTGATTTGCGTACTCACACGCAAGGGCAAGCATTCAGCCAGCAGATGTTTGACCACTGGCAGGTAATATAACTGCTTTGCCATGCAAATTTCATTCCATGTGACATGCTAAAGGCAATTCGTTTATTGATCAATTGCGCAGATTGTACCTGGAGATCCATTGGACAAGACGATTGTTCTTCGGCCATTAGAACCTAGCCCTGCTCCACATCTAGCAAGAGATTTTATGGTTAAAACTCGTCGTCGAAAGGGATTGTCCGAGAATGTGTCACCAAGCAAGGTAGGAAGCGTTACTGTCTATGATGTCACTTTATTCATTGAACGTTACCGATACTCACTAGTCGGTTTTCGATTCTACGCAGTTTTTCGATGACCCTCTACTTCTTGCAATGGCTCAGTTAGACGTTCTAGTTTAAATTGCGGATCTTTTCCGATTACTTTCACAAAAAAATTTTTTAAATGTTGGGGGAGTTTAGAAAGATTCGGTGATTTACATATTGTTCTAATAGTAAAGATAATACACAAATAAATTGCTGATATGGGATCTCTGGGACAATCGACTACCAAAGAATTCAGAACATTTTGGATGATTGCATTATTTGCTTTCCTAATAGAATAAATAAATAGCTTCAATGTTGAAGATATGTCGCTTTTATAACCAATTCTCGGGTTCACATGGCTTTGAAACAACGGCATTATCCGTCCTTCAATTGGAGCGACATTCCTTTCAGGACTTTGATTTCTTTGTTTTGCATTCCTCATTGATATCGGAATTCTGCCCTGCCGAAGTCGATTAACATCACCTTTCCATTGTCGTTCACGAGTATGTTGCCTTCTCGCAAGACCACCACAGTGTGGGAGTGTGGGGATGGATACTTCTTTCCGGTTCTCTTTACCATCTCATCGGCGAGCTCGTCAAGGTACCAATCAACCTTCTGCAGGATAAGTTTATGCAGCTCCTAACGCTAAAATTAGAACCAGAATAACGTGACAAATTAATATGTTATAAGAAGCTTCAAAAATTATATGTCAGTATAACATCAAGAACGTGTTCAGCGATTCGAGCATGTGTATGTATATTTTGAAGCGCGCATTGAAGTAACTTTTTATTTCATCCGTTGTGAAATGCAAAGGAAAACAGTGAATGACATTCTCTACTCCATGTATTAGAGCAATTTGCTATCAGTAATTCTTTTCCTATTCGAAACCGTACTTTTCCTTAATATCAGCTGGGGGGTTGTCCACAAGTTCGAGAAGTGGAATTACAGTATTATTTAACTGGCTCTCAGAAAGAACTATTAACCAGTGTTGTGGTCTCTGTTCCCTCGTCCGATTCTGTTGGCCACGCGTTCTTACTCCTACAAACGTCACTATCCCGTTTTTCAATTCAACACAGCCCGGGATGCTAACGGGGTATCGACTAACGAATACGAAGATGGCAGGCGCTTCATACAAAATGGGCACGCCACTAAGCCAATGGCGAAGTGTTTCATCTAATTTTTGATCAACACCATCTTTTTGCTTTGTAACCTGTACAAATACATCGATCACTGTTGGCATTCCCTGCGCCGGTTTGCTGTTGTATCCAAAGGTCCACACATCTACCTGTATTATTCAAGCATCGATCGTGAGTAGCGCGTGTCGGCTTTATATAAGCATGGCAAGCTGAAAAATCACTCCACCTTCATATTCATGGCATCTCTTGAGTTCTTGTCACGGATCCATCTGACAGATGGGGCAGGCTCATCTAAGATACTAGCATTGTTTCTTTGCTCAATTGTAGTAAAAGGTTCAAACATCATTTGACTTTTTTGTACTCAAATCAATAAACATATGTGGTGTCTAAATAATGCATACCAGTTACTCGCAATATTTGTCCATAATAATAAATGGGCGAAAAGCTAAAGGACAGCTCCTTAGCAACTGCATATTCAAAAATTTCACCACCCAGTTCTTTCATGCAGATTAGGCTTCCTACAATGAGTTCCTGAGAGAAATGAGTCATTGTAGCCAGCTATTTTTCGCAATGTCCAGTATGCAAATGGATATGGTTCACTGATCTGAAAAGCCTTCCTAGGAACCAGTTCAACAAGTTTGACATGCACAATTCCTGAACAACAAATTTCAGAAAGACTTTCAAGATCATCAGGAAACACCAATTGTATCAATTTCTACTTACCTGTTATACATATTTGGCCATGGTATTTGGCAACAATGTTATACCCATCTGTCATGGCATGGTATTCTACTGCTGTCTTCATACCCTCATAAATTACTGAGCCACCATATCGTGTTGGGAAAGATACCAAGCTGAAAAACTTCTGAAGTCAATAAAGATCTCATATTATCGAAAAACTTCTGAAGCATAGAATTTTCATCTTTCACATTATTCAAATTGTATCTAAATGGAGGGAAACATTACTTATATATACTGTGTATATATAAAATAATTTATCACATCTATGTATCACATTGCATACCATTCACAGAATGAACAAAATGTGTCATCCATCATTTCTGGGAGGTGCCTTGCTTTTGCCAACATGTTTCAAGAAAAATTTCTGTAATTCTAGGTATAGGTGGCCCTGTTAGCTGTGCTATAACTGATGTCACTTCTGTTGATGATAATGAATAGAATCCAAGATTGATGTACTGTCCAACAACTGCCTATATTAATATTATGCATCACAAAGTTATCAATTTTGCACAAAAAATTTTCATCACAAATTGTGTGCATTCACCTTCATACCTTCACATCATCATAGCTAAAATATGGCAGCGTTTTTCTGACATCTTGGCAGAAAGTGAATGTTGTTAAACCAGACCATGCCAATGCCTTATGCAGATCCAAGGTAGGATCTAAGCCTATGATGGCAATGGCAATATTTCAGGAAAGTCCCATAGGAACCACTTCTTGGAGTACTAAGTGTAATGCAACTGAGACAAAGTGCTTTGCCATTGGTGTTACCTCATCATCAATATACTCCATCCTCTAAAATAAAAATGCAATACAATCAGCATTCAGCATACCAAGGTTGATCAAAAAATCTGTTTGATATCTGGAAGGCACTAACTGAATAGATTTTCTTGGTTTTGGAAATCAGTTCATGAATATTACAAGATGTTCGCAAGCTGGCAGGTGGTGGTCCCATACAATGGGCTTCATCCATGATAATCACCATGGCTGCACCATCAATAATAATAAGTCTTTCAGCTCATCTAATGCTTTTCCTAGAAGTTCTTTGATATTTTCATTCTCATACTCTGGGAGATAGTTCTTTGTCAATACTTTGTCCAAGCATGAAAGTGAGCAGCCAGATTTCCTAAGTAAAGAAATCTCATCTGATGCTCGACTGAATATTGTCATAAATTATAAATGCTTTTCGGAACAGATGGCAAAAGCTGTTAACAACCATTATTGCTGAAACATCATGATATGTGGAACTGTCTGCTTCATTGATCACAGATTTCAGTACACCATATTCAAAGGTAGTCCTGAGAATATGAGCCTCTGCCTTCTTTGCAGCCTCATGAATGAATCTTGATTTTCCTACACCTATTACAATGAGGAAAGTTCTGATGCTAGACTTGAAAATGTCTATGTGAAGTTTTCACATGCATGGAAAATAAGCAGAGGGACAAACCAGCAGCTATCCAAGACATTATTGAAAGCTGGATGGCATCAAGGTTGTTACTTTCTATGTGAAGAAAACCAGGAAGCTGTTGATATTGTTATTCTGACATTGCACAATGCAAACAGTTATGAAGTAAGCAGTGTATTGCTTAGACTATTATAATGGCAGCTTGTGCTAATACTAATGCTAACAGAAAGGTCTTATTCAGGATGGTCCCCCTTTGCTCATCCAAATCAAAAATCAATCTGGGAGAGGTGCAATCAGAGATAGAGATGCTCAACTTTTTTTTTCTGTCTCACTTCTTTTCCTTTCTTATTCTGTTCTTTTCCTTTTCTTTTGTTATCATTAATATTAATAGATAAAGGATTGCACCAAACCTATTATTGGGAAATCAAGTTGGTTGATTTTTGTTGAGACCCCAGTGATTATGCCATCCTTTGTATCAAAGGAAGGGAATCAATAAGCATTTTTAAAGTTTGGTTCTGCAAAACTTGAAGTTAAATCCGAGTTTCAAACACTTGTGAATACAAATAAGGGTACCTCTAATAGAATAATAACAACAATTATTCTATTAAAGATTCGAACTATTTTAAATTTAAACAGGGCTATCTTCGATTTGTTTATCGACTAGTCGGTATCCGTCACTTGTTTTTATCTAAACTAATTAAACAATAATCATCTCGATAATTAATTATGAACTCTCGTTCCGTTATTCACGTAATTGATCAGCGGACAGCTTACTAGCTTGATCAAAATCAATGCTATTCCGTTACAGCTTAAGTGAGCCGTTTATTGGAGTGTCCGGTCTATTATTTCGACGATAGAAATTAATTGGATATTTATAATAAAGTATTGCGGGAGAATATTACTAAGATCAGTATATTTTATTTATTTCACAACATGGACAATATTGACAACATAAAGATGTGGTGATGAAATATGAGTTACTTATACACAGTGGCTCTCTTTATAGTGTACCTCCTTTATAGTGGAGACTAATTAAAATTGCGATATAGTGGATAAAGGTTCAAAACGAATGCTATCCGATATAGTGTATTTGAGAATTTTTTACTAGTAAAATTTTTTGATACACTATAAAGAGAGTCACTGTGTATATCTTCGAGCGTTGCGGAAAAAGCGCAACGCACTTTTAGCTATTTCCAATTATAGTATTTTGCGCTGTTGCGGAAAAAACGCAACGCTTTTTAGCTATTTCTAATTATAGTATTTTGTACTGTTGCGGATTTTTCGAAACGTTTTTGCTATTACTACGTCTGTTTGTATTACTAAACTAGATTTTATCATGTGGCTTACTTATCTGATTCATCAAATCCTTGCCGTAACAATATTCATATCATTGGATATATACTTTATCAGTTATATAACCTTGTCGTCAAAGTACTCGATAATTAGTGTTTAATGTTTAATTTGTCTTAATTGTTTAAATTAAATGACTACCACTAGTAACTTGAAAAATATACCAGAACAGCATCTGAGACAGTCTTTTAATTGAAGGACTATAATTAAGAAAGAATGATTAGCCATCGATTTGTGATTGGAAAGTTTAAGTATTTTCCTCCCTACATTTCCAATCATTTCAGGATCGGCGCTGACACTTTCATTTATTACTTATCCGTCTAAGTGACAACTGCACAAGTTGGGATAAAATTCACAGTTATATTGTATGTAAATCCCGTCACTATGTAAATCCCGTTTGGGGTCCCTAAAAACCGCATTTACATAGTGACGGAATTTACATACAACATATACACTGAAATATACAATTTCCCTGGTAGTTTATTCGATATATCGTTGTAAACCACTAATTCCTATATTGATTAGGGATATTCGCTCGTGGCATTACGATTGTTTATTTATCTTAAGTATAAATGCTTTTTAAATAGATATTAATTGTACCCAACACTAATATGCTTCCGAATTAATTCTATCGGATGGGAATAGTCGATTAACTCGAGAGCGAATAAGAACTGTCTAAGATTAGTGTCTACCGATCAACGCAGATAGCGAGTAGAAAGCCTAGTTTAAAGGTCACTAATTCTAACCGTTGCAGATAGCTAGGTTAACATCTCCCGCGATTATTGACTCGACGTTTCTCAGCCGCGCAAAATATTGACCCATTTTTTACTGAGTAAATTTTAAGCAAATTTGTTGAACTATAGTAATGTGCATACATTTTACAATCTTCATGACGGGAAATTTAATATTGAGTGAAATATAGTCAAGCAAAATTATACCGTTAATTTTGTTGCCGAACTTTGATCTTATTCGACTAAGTAAAACGTCAATTTATTCAGCGTAAAGCTATTAGTACAAATCTTTATTACTTGATTAACTCTGCTTACATTGTAATATTTTTTGAAGCTTTTCAAAGTTGTCTTAAATTGAAGTTCGACAGCCAAATTTCGAGAATTGATATAATGCAGACTTATATCAAATCTCTATCGTGAAAATCGCACGGCAATATTGTTCAACTTAGAATTTATTTCCGATTTACTTAGTGGTAAACATTATCGATTTGTAATAATCTGGCACTACAATTGATTTGACGATAAATTATATGTAATTCCGGTTGTAGTACAGTCGACTCTCGATTACTCGACCGTTTGCATTTTGAATTAACGAACACTGTTTTTAGGATAATACGGGATCTTTTTACTATTACTATACCATACAGTAACCCAACACTTTGTAAAAATAACTCATTGGAATGAAACAACCACGTATCTTACTCGTTTTGATTATTATGTCTATTTCTTGTTCAGTGGAAATTGTGCTACAGTCTACAATCTACTATCACTACAGTCAGTCAGACGTCCTTGAAAATGAATCGAATGTCACGAATGTAAAAGGCAACTGACAAACACGCGTTATATCACAAAAATCCTGATCTATCAACTGGAGTGTCAAACAGAATAGTCTGCGAAATACAAAACATTTGTCAAAGACAGTTAGGCCCGAAGTTGGTTTTTTTTTTTACGGAAATATCATGAATGTCGTCTTCACGTGATACAGCTTTCCTTGTGAATTTGATACTATACCACGTTTGGCAAGCCTTGACTGCACGATTGCCTCATACATGTCAGTGTCACAAATTGTACCCACATTGACTACTTACACAATCAGATCGTAAATATTAATCTGACATATATTCATTCTGAGCTGACATTTGTCTATCGGAATTGATATGTCTACGCTGAATGGACATAAATTCCAAACTGACATATAACGCAGCTACAACCTCTGTTTGCGTAATATTTCAATAGTTTAAACATTACTAACTTTTCGGCCATTCCTTTACGAATATTTTGCGGTCTTGTCGCTTGACAACTTTGACGTAAATGAATGTGGAAAAAATTTTTATAAAGTGTACGAAATATGTGTAAAACGATACTGCGAACTAGTGTGTAGAATACATAAATTTTACGTTTTTATATGCACGATTTCATTGTGACTTTTTGGAGGGAGCTGTATAACTCAAAGGCATCTAGGACTAGTGTCTACAAATTGGTATGGACCATGAGTAATCAAGCCTGGTTTAAAGGTCATTAACAGTCGTTTGTATTTAATTAAAAGTAGGGGAAGCCACAGCTCCATTTGAAAATAACTAAATCCCAAGATCAATAGTAACTCGCTCATTGACTCGACAAAGATATTATATTTCATATTAGCATGTAAATAACCTTTCGATCGTAACTGTAAAATTATCTTATAGGTCAGAATTATTTAATTATTGAGCATCCAGATAAACTACTTAAACTGGTTTCAATAACACATGCGTAATAAGCAAAGTTTTTCTCACGCATACTGTATTCTCTCGTGAATATGAAAATGGTTGGCAAACCGTCATGTAAACAATAAACTTTATTGTATATTTGAAATAATTACGTGTTCTTATGTAATAAACTATTGGGTAGATTATGCTGCGAATAGCGGTAATTCTGCGGGTGCTTATTCACGAGAGTATACAGTATGTAATATTAAATCCATGTGGTGAGCAAAGCAACCCTGCTTTGTTTTGAGGAAACACACTTACGGTTATTTATTGAAGTCGTTTTTAATTTAATCTCAAAGAAGATACTACAGTGTTTTATTGTCCAAGTGTAGTATATTTATAATCGCTGAAAGTGGATTATTATTATTGAGCGTAAAAGAGCAGGTTTAACTAACATAAATTTGTAGTAGTATTGTAATGCTTACACGAGACACTTTGACACCTTTCTGGACAGTCTCGCAGGCGAGTTTGAGAATAGTCTATGCGGAAACCTAATTAGGAGCACGTAAGTATAGACCAAGTCCATTAAAACCCATTAAGAGAAGGGAGTGATCATGGAAGTAAGAGATAAAGGAGATGAGAGATGGGCGGTAAATTGGTTAAGAAACAACTTTTTCGTGGAGTATATGATAAATGACAGAGATGAGTAATAAAAATTAGGGATATTGAGCATCATGAACAAAGCAAGAGAAAGAGATTAAGGAAATAAAATACAAACTTAATTTGAGATATAGATATGCAGTCACTAACAAGTAAGCTTGGGACATTTTACGTTCAACTTTGCCTACCAGTCATTATGTTTGAACATGTGACAATAATAATGAAAAATGCGAAGATCAGTTGTACGAGATCAATTATTATCTATTGCTATGTAGAAGATTCCTGTTTTAATCAATTTGTACTCAACCATTAATGTCTGGCGTATGCATAGTCGCAGGTACAACTCCTGTTTTGCTACAAATTGCCAAATTAGAGTGTGATTATAAATAGATAGTCTCACCCCTAAAAGATGAACGAATGTCAAACTGTAACGAATCTAACTGATAATGGGCAAGTCTGTTCTCAATACTAAAACGGGTTAAACCATCATCGCTCCGTTATTCCGAATTGGAAACATGAATAAGCATTATTATCTTGGAATCGTTTGTACGCCAGAATAAGAAATTAAACAAAGGAAACAGCTGTGATACCGTTAGGTATAAAAAAACCATAGGGATTCACTCGGTCTTGACGCCGGAAAACACTTACATGTTGACCATGACTGCCACAAGATTTATCCAATCTCGTATTAGCGGATACTACAACAGTCAAAATGACGATTCTATAAGGCTTATGGATAAAACATATACCGAACAAACGGCAAAGTATATTCAACTTGTTGGTCGTATGGAAGAGAAATACGCCAAGGATTTTGTTGAACTCCCGAGGGTTGTATT